TATAACGTATTCTGGAGTATTAGATGTATAAAAGGTAGTAGTTATTATCTGTAATGCCAAATGACAAACTATGATAGTATGCTGGAAATTTCAATATGGATTGTGGATGAGTTTGAGAACTCTGTCCTTGTTTATCTTTCCTTGCTTTTACTTTAAGTGTAGGGAATGAAGAAAAAATATTCTTATTTTCTATCTTAACATCTTTTCTCATTTATTTGTAATCTTTTATGAATATAATGTAAAATATATCACAGTTTGTATAATGTTGGAAGGAGATGAATAGATCAGTACATGTATTATGTACAGAATAGGAAGTAAAACTGTAGGTACCTATAACCTTATCCCTGCACTTATAAATCTTTATTATGATTATTATGTTTATAGTATTTATTGAAATAGGGCAGAATTAGGCTTATAAGAAAATTATTAAGAAAAATATAAGCTTTAATTATTTTTTAATAAAACCTTTCTACTTTTGCAAAATTGACATCCCCCACTAAAACTTCATAGATATGTGCCACAGCTACAAAGGAAAGGAAGTATTTAAACAAACACCTGTAAGCTTTTTTTTTAAATTTTCATCTACAAGGAAATATTTAGAATTATCTGTGTATGCTGTTTTATAAAGTACACCTGTTATAATTTATCAGTAGTCCTTTGTTGACTGTTTTGCATTTCTAGATTACAAAATTATAATCAGTTGAGTTTGTCTTGGTTATGGCTTACAGACATCATGTTTGAATAATATCTTGACTTTATTGCATAATAGTGATATAATCTATTTACCTACAAATATACATGAAGTTGTACATCATTTAAGGGTTCCTATTATCTTAATGCCTATTTTAAATAACTGTATGATTATTATATATTGGAGATTTCTGTGTAGAAGTACTTGTATCTATTAATTGAGATACCTGTTCAGAATTTACTGATGTCAGCTAAAGAATGTTTATGTACTAAGCAGGATTAAAAATAATGCTTTACAAATAAAAACAACTTTTACAAATATTTTACCATTGCATCTTGATAAGTAAAGATGTAATCGTACTTTAATTCAAATTTTAGAAAAGTTGTGTGTTCTATATCAAAATAATAGATTTAAAAAAAATAGAGGGGGTATGCTTTGAAATTGAAATGAAACACCTTAGATTTTATATTTTACATAAGATTTATCAAGGATTTGACTCATTATTGAAATGCATTCAGGTGCTATTTTAACTACTACATGTACCTTAGATAGAGTGTTCTATCATTAAAATGATAAATATCCTACAGACCCGGTGAGGGCCTGTCCTGAGACACATTTAAACACAGTTAGATTATTCTAACTACCTGTACCTATAGATACAATCTACCAGGTATACATCAACGTTTAACTCTGGAGAAGTTGTTACTGTACATGTATGTAACAGGTTGGTGACTTGTAGTGTTGATGCCAGGATTTGAGGAACGTCTCTGGCAGCGTAGTGGTGATGATAGTTCTGATCAAATAGTTTTTGTGTCAAGTACCTCACATTTGTTATCTTAATTCAGAGTACTTCCGTGGAACTACATCAAATTCATAGATATCTACACTACAAGGACCTCTAGAAGGGAATTTGGGGCTAATCATTCTCCAATTTTCTTTTGCTTATGCACGATGTCGGATCACATTATTTTCTTGAGACCGTCTGTCGTTGAAAATTTCATTCTCGCGTATATTTGTACATGTATTTTGATGTTAACATGTATTTAGAATAATGACCAAACAAAATTCAGGGTTTTTTCTCACTTGTTAATACGAAATAACCATTTCGCGAAAATTATAGGTCCCTATGTCGTGGAAATTTGGTAAATGTTAAATAGAGATGGCATGTCATCATCCATATTACGGTAACGGGCAACAATATGGCAGTGAGCAAAGGCACATCACAGGGGCTAAGCCCGTCTCTACCACAAACTCTTTGTACCCACAAAGATTTGGGGTACAAAGTTGGGTTGTCAACGAGTAATCGGTTACTCGAGTACTCATCGAAAGGTCGTAACTTATCAAATACTAAAATCAGTATTCGAGTACTTTTGGAGTAAAATAAAACCATGCAATATTTCTTCATAGTTCTCATTATTGTCAAACACATTCTACTTTTAGAGTAGTGATCTTTCTGTTAGTGTATATGTATGACCCTGCCATGTTTTGAAAACAATTCAAGTCACTATCGCATTTTGTTTATAGCCAGGGACACAACATGTCTGGAAATAACAGTTCAAATTAATTAAATCATATATAGAATAAGTATTGTCTCTTAATTAGTAAGTCAACTACTGTATATATGTGAAGTTGAATTTACTAACATGTACGTGGGAGGGACAAATAATATAAATCATGTGATACCGGAGAAACGACTGTTTTAAACTATCTACATTCTCCGCACAGCAAAAATTTGCCACACATACATTCTGCTGAAATAACGTGAGTCATATTGTTAACAGATAGTTATGGTTATAATAAATAATAAATTGCAATATTCGTGTTCTCGACCATTCGCATTGAAATTCATGAAATGTATTTAAAATTTTACTTTTGATTTCATATATATTCTTTATCATTCCAAAGTTCCATTAAATAAAAAAATGAACGTTTATCATACTTAAGTGTAACTATTTATATTTGTTAAAAACATTAAAATGAAATTACGTTCAATCAAAAAGAACAATATACGATCGTGAAGATAAATAGTCTTAAATTTTGAATTTATTCTTGAATAATGACCGAGTACTCGGGTACTCGATCAAAAAGACAGACGAGTAACCTGACAGTGTTACTAAAGTTGATCGATTTGACAAGCCTCCACTAAGCCGTCGCCAATATGTACTATGTATTTTGTATCTGGTGATAATAAATGTATTTGTGGATGTACGATAATTTCTGCAGTGAGATTAGGTGCATATTGTCGCTGAAAACAATATGTACAGGACGACAATATGTACCTTGTAATTACAAATTTTATATTGGCGGCGGTGACAAATCTACCTATCCTTGCTGCTCAGATTGTCGTCAGCATCGGTACACAGTGGCACCGGAGTTTTCTTGAATTAATATCAGTCATTTTATTTGCATCAGTCCCCATATTCACTATGTAGATTGCATATCAAACATTCAATACCTTTTAAACTATTTCTTATATAAATCTATACTTAAAGAGTATAACAATTTCAATGTTCAATGTTCGACAGCGACGGAATTGACCAAGTAAATGAAAAATACATCATGGAAGCCAGCACAAGATACACGTATGACAAAAAATAAAAGGTATAACAAAACATTTATTGACTGTGTAAAACCAAAAGAAGAGACGGCTGTGTTGACATCATTGTGGCGAGAAGTTTTCTATCATCCTAAAGGAATATTTAGGTTCTTCTTTGTTAAGGTTTGGATGTTATTTTTACAATATAATGCATTTCTGTTTTGTAGAGCTTTTCAATCATCAGTCTTTATCATGTGCATATTGTCATTGAAATACAGACTTCAACTCATCTTTAAAGTTTACATAATTTATGCACATTTATTCGTGTTCTGCAGTTGTACTCCTTGAACTTTCTATTAAGCATTTAAGTGCATTCACAGTATCATGGCGTGTATATGTATATATTCTGACGCTCAGGATTACATCAGAAGAGGTTGTTTGGTTCCTTTTGTTGTTTTCATTGAAAAGTTACCTTAATCGTAGTAATTTCAACACTATTACCTGAACATAACATTTGAAAACGATTGATTTTGTGGCCATTCGATTGGTAAAAAAGAGTTCACATCATCCGTTTCATACTTAGTATTTTCATCCACACAGTAAAATATATCTATATAAAAAATCTTTGCAGTGTGATACATGCACAGGTTCATGAGGTTGTTTAAAGATTTTCCCGTATTTACGAATATTATCATTTTGCAATGTAGGCCTACATGCGATGTCACCATTTCAATATGAGTAAGTGATGTCACTAGTTCGATCGTGTTATATCACCAATACTTTTTCTTTATTTCAATTTCAAAACAACGAGCTGTATCATCATGGGCATGCAGCCCAGCATAATGTAATATGATCACTGATGTACATGTATGATTTCACTTATCGAGATTGATAATTCGAATTGATGATATCTTATATTTGAATAGACAATTTACTATATTAACAGATTTTGTTAATTACCCCCAAAAAGCTGATTTCACATTTAACACATATTCAAATAAGAGACACATATCTTCGCTAGACAAGTGTTCCTGATCATTCCACTCACAAACTCTTTTTTTAATACTGACTTATTTTGAATTTGTCAAGTAATATTCGATTTAATAGTGATATTTTTGTTCGATTTAGGATACAAATAGATATACAAATTTAGGCACCGGATTCAAGACCATAAGCTGAAAAGAAAATTAAGTCAAAATTTCAAATTTAGTATAACTTTTAAAAATAATACAAAATTTTCATCATGCACTTGTCCTTGTATTTTGGTATTATACAATTCTGAAAGTTTTTTTATAGTTAAAATATGTTATTACTTAAATAATATCTGAATACCATAAAGCGCCACATTATTTTCTATTTCTATTGTGCAGACACTTACAGGACGCAGTTTCAGTGTTTGTTTTTTGTTGGAGGAGGGAGGAGCTTAATAAGCACTAATTCCTTAAATGTTCCTACAGGCCTATATTGTCATATATTATTTTTATATGACAGATTTCAAATTCATACAAAGAATAAAAAATTCTCAAGCGGCAAAAACAATGGTTTCTGTTCTAGGATAGTACATGTACATTGGGTTGTATGCATTTAGTATTTCTTTGTCTACGCCTATTTAATTTCTTTCCGCGAACTTGGGTGCAATTTTGCAGTGATTACTCGAGCGTGTCAGTATTCTTTTCCGATGTAATTGATTTCCTTCCTGAATCGATCCTCTTTTGATCAGCTGACGCAGATGGTCTGTTTATCGATTTTCCTTGGCATCCGCAGCCATAGCAGTTATGTTGTCATGTGATGTTGTCTGTCGGAAACTAGCCGTTCTATTTTTATCCACTCTTAGCAAGTCACCTGGAAATAGAGAGGGTAAACTGGAATTTTTCGGTAAGTAACTGGTTCTACACAATTCAATTTCTTTCTTTTATAAACGTTTCATTTATCTCTTTGTTGACGCTTATTTTTGTAAGGAATCGGGGTCAACACAATACAAACGTAGGTGACGGACGCTGGGGAGGCCCCATATGTGACTCATGATAGTAGTAAACACAAATAAAGGGATTTAAAGTGCAAACAAGTTACTAGATTTAATGTGCGTAGAATGTACAACCAAAATCTCTACTTGGTGAACGGATATTCAACAGGATAGAACATGATAAACGTATTAGAGATGAGAGAATGATTCCAGGGCAACTGTGTCAGACACATTAATGACCTTTTTAGCAAGATCGGGAATGACATATATATTAAATATGACACAAACTCACGTGAACCTGCTTTGTCTCTGCTTTTGTGATGTGTTTCATTTCAAGCACACTTAATAGCTGCGGAAGCCACAATAACAACGAGGTCAAGCGAATCATGCAGATGAGTGGAGCTGTCCTTTTTGTAACTGACATAAACTGACGATCATTTCAGGCTTACAAGATACAAGATATTTTATTTACCAATCAAGGACCCCGAGAGGCATTTCATTTACAGACATGCATAAAAGTATATATGAATTTAACAAGGCAATTTATTTTGATACTCTTTTCCAAGAACCGGACGGTTACGTTTTATTAAATCCATGACCAACGTCTTTTGATTTAAACCAACTGTTCGCAATAGTTTTATTTATTTACTCTGTGTATATGTTCTTTCTCCAGAAAGTTCAAGGCCGGTCAGAAAGAGTTAATCCTTTAGAGTAGGGGAGGAGCGGCCAGGAGAGCATGTGTGTTGGTCAGCTACTGTTTTACATATGCGCAAAAAGGGAAAACAGATGACAATCGAACTTACGGAAAGGAAATCTCTCAATACCTGGAATTTTATCACTTACTGTGAGGCGCCTTCCTGGAATTTGTTCAGCACTCTTGTATGGCTACTCACTAATGAAGAGTACGTATATGTTCTTGGTATGTTTTACTGTTGTTACCGAGATTGCCATCGTGAATACCATAAATTATCACATCTGTAGTACTTTTGTCGATCGCGAGTCAGATGATTTGCAAGAATTTAAAAAATGTTACCTTTTTTCTAAAAGTATTTAATCCCAAATCTGATAATACTGTTATTCAGTGTTCCAGCAGAGGGGACTGCCCGGAACATGTTAATTTTCTGAAGGTAATAATTATACACATTACATGTATCTAGGTTAGACGTGAGTCTTTATCGAAGTGTGTGCCATGCATGCGTTAATATAATTACTTTGTATTTAAATGCTTTCATCTGATACGACCTTTGTACCTCAGAGAAGGTATATGTTACTTCCTGTATAGATTTTTTTTTTTAAAAATGCGCATGGTATCGTATGAGTAATCAGGTGCTTCCATTTCGATCAGCTGTTCGAAAGTAGGTGCATAGACGGTTGCTAGAATCATTACTATTTAGAAAGGTAAGGACGCCTAAGTTTTTTTTCTCATGTCAGCAAGGACAAATAGTAAGATTTTCGGTTGTGATTTAAGATAAATATATTTCCTTTTAGAGTTAGACAGCGTTTTTCAAAAGCACTGAATCATCACAATGTGAACTCTCGCGTGGTTTTGATTCTGTGTACTGGGGTTTACAACATATTGAATTAGTTGTAAAAGTGATACTTATCGATTTATTGGACTGTAGGCATGCTCTCAGAAAAGCAACAGTTTTTTTTTCGTATTTATAATCCCCTATTTACCCTATATTAAAATGCTGTAGAATTTAAATAGTGTCTGCTATTTGCTTCATTGGGTACAAGCAGGTAACTCCCCCCCCCCCCCCCCCCCCGGACGATCATATTTCCATTTTGAAAGATCAACTCTCAAGTTTGACCATACATAGTACTAATAGTATTGGGGTCAAGGGTTCAAGTTACTAAGACTCGGGGTTATCTTAATGTGTTCATTATAAATAAATATACCCTCTCGCTTTATCTGAATTAGTGCAGCTAGAGAATGATTCATGTATCATATCAGTTTGATATTACTTTTATCATATATCAGCAAAGTGTACATTGATATAATGAGTACATATACTTAAAATAAAATTAAATGCACATTCTGCAGTTTTTCGACGTAGTTCTTAGTTTTAACTCACCTGAGCTGAAAGCTCAAGTGACTTTTTCTGATCACCCATTATCCAGCGTCCGTTCTTCTAGCTGTCTGTCCGTCCATCCGTCTGTCTGTAATTTTTTTTTAAATACATTTTTAACTTCTTCTCAAGAAACACTGGGCCAATTTTAACCAAAGTTGACACAAAGCATCCCTGGATAAAGGGAATTCTAAATTGTTAAAATGAAGGCCATGCCCCCTTCCAAGGGGATATAATCAAGAAAAAAATAGGGTGGGGTCATTAAAAAAACATTTTTTCAAGAACCACCAGGCCAGAAAAGCTGAAACTTATATGGAAGCTTCCTGAGTTAGTGTAGATTCTTAATTGTTCAAATCATGACCCCCGGGGAAAGGGAGGGGCCACAATAGGGGATCAAATTTTTACATTGAAACATATAGGAAAAATCTTTAAAAACCTTCTTCTCAAGAACCGTTGTGCCAGAAAAGCTGAAATAGTGTAGATTCTATTGAAATCATGTTCCCTGGGGGAAAGGGTGGGTTCGTAATAGGGGGTCAAAGTTGTACATTGAAATACATGTATATAGGAAAATCTTTAAAAAACAAAGCATTGGGCCAGAAAAACTGTAACTTATATGGATTTTAAAAATCTTATTCTCAAGAACCATCGTGCCAGAAAAACTGAAACTTTCGATGATACTTTCTAAGGTAGTGTAGGTTTTAAATTGTTCAGATCATGGCCCCAGGGGTAGGATGGGGCCACTAAAGGGATTATATAGGAAAAAAATTTAAAACTCTTCTCAAGAACAGCAAAGCCATGATGAATCATATTAACGTGGAAGCATCCTCTGGTAGTGTAGACCTAAGATTCATTTTTGTGCAGTTACTGCCTCTGTGTAAATGGTAAGTCAAAATGGCAATCAAAATTTTACACTGGAATACATTTATATTGATTTTAAAAAAACCTAATGCAGAACTGCAGGGTCAAAGTGGCTCAGGTGAGTGTTGTGGCCCATGAACCTCTTGTTTATTATCATATTCCCACTTGAAAAGCGGGGATATTTAGTGACTGGCGTGTCCGTCTGTACATCCGTAGTACTTGCAGTTGGGGGTACCTTTTTCTTATCCCCACCTCCTCCTATAACATTGAATAACATTCTATGAGACTTTCACAGAAACTTTATTTCATAGTGCCATCGTGCACCCCTATTTTACATTTCGATTGAACAGATATTTGGGTTTCCCAAAGGGAAAAAAAAGGACTTTACCTTTATACTCATACAGAAATTCTTTCGTTAACACAGAGTTCACAGCACCACTAGTTAACTGTTTATTGATTTATTTTTATTTTTTTACGGTGGGGTGGGTGGTCTTTTTTATGCACGTTGCTTGTTTTATCGTGTTCTCCTTGAGAGATTTCAAATACATAATTATAGATCATTTTTAAAGTGCATGATAGAGATTATCTTGAATTCTGCTCTTGCACGAAGTAATTGGAAGGGGGGGGGGGGGGGAGAGAGAGTGTTAAGCTCTCCCAAATAATTTTCGTCACAAATTTATTATATTTTAGCATCGTTCAAAACTGATGTGTATGGAGCACTGTTTCACCCTTGTGCACTAGATATAATCTATTGTTTTAATAATTGCTTGAAGATATTATGCACATGTCCTTAAAGGCAATAAAATCATTAATGTTTCAATGTATGTGTGAACGGAGATACAGTTTGAATAATTGAATACCTATGTCCTCGGCAAGAAAAAATACAAAAAAACTAAATTGTCTTATCTGAGATAAAGGGATCGATTTTTTTAGGTTCCCCTTGTTATTTACAGAAAATGATTGACAAGAAAAGAAAACGAAATACAGTATACCTTTAGGAAATAAAAACAAATCAACTCGTCACCATGTCCAATGAGAAAAAGCGCCATGAGTCCGGAGAATCCTACGACTCTACGGACAGTGTGGGAGACCTTATCCCCACCCCACCAGATGGAGGGTGGGGCTGGGTGATCGTGTTCAGTTCTCTTTTGTGTAACATCATCGTTGACGGTATAGGGTACGCCTTTGGGGTTCTCCTTCCCCAGTGGGAAGAAGTTTTCCATGAGTCTCCCGGTAAGATCTCGCTCGTGGGATCGCTGCTTGTCGGGGTCTACCTATGTGCAGGTTGGTTTTGATATTTATATCGAATGTTTTTAGCAATAAAGAGATTGACCTTCAAAATGCAGTATTATGTACTGAAAAGTTAAATATCATTCCATAATAATGTAATTTTATTGCATAAAAATTGCCATCTGCGATTACATACATTGATTTATAAAACTATTATAAATTTCAAATTAATTTTGCAAGTTTAGAATATGGTCTTGTAGTTCAAGAAGGTACTTTGAATGCACTTTAAAATCGAGGTAAACTGTAAAAGATTATCAACACAAGAAGTAGGCTGACCTTTTCCGTAGATCCATGTACATTGAGTGTGTCTGTCTCAGGTCCCTTGGTAAGCGGTTTGACTAACAAGTTTGGATGCAGACCTGTGACGTTTGCCGGAAGTTGTTTAGCTTGTTTAGGATTCCTATTGGCGTCTTTCAGCAGTAGTATCAATGTACTTATGTTAACCTATGGAATCATGGGAGGTAAAACGTTTTTTGTGCAAGCAAACGAACGATTTTCTTTCTCTCAATTTTCTGGTTTGTACGTTTACTAATAAATCCCTCTGATTTACTTTCAAAGGTTTGGGATTTGGTCTAATCTATTTGCCTGCCATAGTGAGTGTTGGTTTCTACTTCGAGAAAAAGCGCGCCATTGCGACTGGAATAGCTGTTTCCGGTTCCGGAATCGGTACTTTTATATTTGCTCCGGCAAACGCTGCTATGTTAGAAGCATATGATTGGAAGTTTATGCTAGTGATTCACGCCGGTATAATTTTAAATGGATGCGTTTGTGCAATGGTAATGAGACCCCTAGACCCTCCAAAAAGGAAGAAGAGGAAGCCAAAAATTAGAGCAAAGACAATGATTGATCGTGTAAAAGAAAGAGCCATAGCAAATCGAAATCGAGCTGGCGAATCGGAATCCAGTGTTCAAATTGGAGAAAGTTTTGCAAAATTGCAAGAAGCCAAACGACTGCGCGAAGAAAGGTTAAAGGAGGAGGGGTCAGACATTTTGTCCATGCCTAGTGCTTACTTCGAAAAAACAAACAAGCTCTCTTTTTCAGAAGCAGGGGAGAGTTATTGTGGAAGCCCTGTAGTAGACATTCCAAAAATAACATTTAGTGGCATTGACGGGAAAGAGATTCCATCACCAGAATCTCCACGATCTGAAAACTTCGACGCTAAGAGTGGTTCAAAAGAGGCAGTTCAGAGGAAATCCAGGGAGGAAGAAACAACGAAAAAAGAAGTAAGCGACGCAAACATCCTTAAAGGAGTTTACAGCCATGAAGTGGAGCCACTTATCGAAAATGGGTACGCGAAAGTTGCCCCACGCCAAGCAAAGGACTATTCATCGGCTGCCAGACTTCGTATGGGGTCCCAGCATAATATAGAGAAAAAGGACTACGCTAGACCAATGTACAGACAGGATATATTCTACAGTGGAAGCGTCAATAGAATCCCACAATTTACTTCACAACCAGACATGCACAGTTACATTACTAGTATTACAACAATACCTGGAGAGATAGAGATTCCGCCATCTTCAGTGTGGGATCATTGCACGTGTTTGCCAAAATCCATTGTAGACACTTTACGCGACATGTTAGATTTCTCAATATTAAAAAACGTATCTTTTGTGTTGATTTGTGTTGGAAATTTATTCGCAATGGTTGGATTTTATGTTCCTTTCACGTACTTAGTAGATCATGCTTTGGAGCAGAATGTGTCAAAGACAGATGCAGCTTTTCTCTTGTCTGTGATTGGTGAGTATTGTAACAGTGTTCATAATTGGCTGAATTAGTTTTCATGTGTCTACTAAAATTGATTTTTTTTTCAGTAGTGATGGTATTTTTTTTTTTTTTTTTTTTTTTTTATAGAAAATGAATATAAATAAGAAATTCAAGAAAATGTAGTTTTATACTGTATAGAACAAAATGTAAGAAAAATTTTAATGAAGGTGAACATTTAAAAAAGGGAAACAACTTATTAATCAATTTACAGTTACCTTCCTTAACAGGGGGCCATTTTTCCGTAACTCTGACAACAATTAATGACCGATCGACAACATTCATAATTTTGATGGTAATAGTATTGCTGACCAACAAGGACAAATACATTTCTGGGCTTTTTTTCAGGTATCACGAATACTGTTGGTCGAATTCTGTCTGGTGTCTTAGCCGACTTGACCAAGGTGGACGCTCTGATCATTAACAACGTTGCTTTGGTGATTAGCGCGGTGCTGCTCTTCCTAGAACCTCTTTGCACAACATACCCTTTGCTTATTCTTTTTGCAGCTCTCTACGGTTTATGCGTCTGTAAGTTTTCAAAAAAATAAATAACATTTTCACTTTAAAAAGAAATAAATGTTATACTGTTTGGAACATGGACCAGAAATGGGAAACAGATCAATTATACGAATTTAGTATGTAATTAGATTTCCTTGGTCTAGAAATGTCCAAAATCGGGAAAACGCGACTTTTTTCAATTATTGGGGGGTTGGTGTCAAAATTCCAAACGTACTAGAATCCAAAAAAGTCTAGAAACAGATATTGCAGATGTAGAATTTATCGTTGGTATGAATTGATAAGAGTAAGGAGAACAGCACTAGAGAAAAAGGATACACTTTTTACATTTCATAGATTTTTTCAACTAATATACATGTATAATATTGATTGAAGTAACATTTATATAGAATCTGCATACATTTTTCTTGGCATTATTTTGTATTATATTTATAACACCTTATAGCAAAATAATAAACTTGATGTATATCATATACTACAATTAGTCATTCATGGATTTCACGTAATGCATTTCAGCTGCGTATATTTCATTGACCTCCATCATCATTTGTGATATCATTGGACTGGAAAAACTAACCAATGCATTTGGTATGCTAACGCTAGCCAGAGGGACGTCTTCTATTTATGGACCTCCACTAGCTGGTACGTAGAATGGGAACATGTCAAACTTTAAAGAAAGGAGAAGGAACGGCTGAGTACAATTGAGCCATCTTAAAATAAGCATTTATTTCTTTTTTATTAATTTTGTAAATGTTTCAACAAACACAATTGTTATCTCGGTCGAGGTGAAACAAAAATGAAAGTAGCAAATCAATTAGGGAAAAAACAAACTAATATGTCGATTGCACCTAATTTAATTATTCCCTTTTCCTGAAGTTGTTCAAAGATCTCAGAGTGAAACTTTATTTCACTTCGAATATAAACTGCTGATAAGGATTGAGCTTCTTTATTGTTAGGTTTCCACTTTCGTTCATTGCAGGCGCGCTGCGGGCCGCCACAGACAGTTACAACTACTCTTTTTACCTTGGAGGTGGGATGTTCACTGTGGGTGCCATCTTTCATCTAATGTTACATTTACCGTGCATCAAACGGAAAGGACTGCAGGAACTCACAGGGGCTGACCTCGATGTACCGGAAGCGGAAGCTCCTGTTGCTGTATAGATCACAGTAATCAGTAAGAATATTTTTGAAGCAATATTTTTAAATCAGATACAGGCATTGTTGACATGGGTTTTTCTTTTAAGCGCTTGTTTTGTTATTGAGAATGTATATTACATGTATATTGTAAAAATGTTTTATTTTCGTTTCGTGTATACCTTATAAGGAGTCAAATCTCGTCACCAAAACGAGAACACAATAGAAGATATAACTTGAAAGACGTTTTAATGTCATAGTGAAGACATTTATTGTATGGGGAATTTACCAAGCCTTGGTATACTGTTGTAATTGTTATTTTACATGTGAATTTCGAATTCCAGAAACTTAAATGTTTTTGTGGCTCTACTTGTTATTGTCTTTTATTTTATTTTGCAGCAGGTACATGCATGTAATATTTTTTTTCCTTCATGAATTAGTCTTTTTTTAAACAAAAAATGCACCTACATAGTCTTTACTAGGTATTTACTAAACCTTAGATGTATGAGAAAAGAAAATGGTTTGATATATGTAAAGCTCCCTCCCCCCCCCTTTTTTTTTAAATTATTGTAGTGTTTACATTAACAGTCAATAAAAACTGATAGAATCGTGTAACTCAATTATAACAAGTTGAGAACATTTTGTTTTGGTTAAAATCTCTGGTTAACTTTTGATATATTCTAGTGATTTTACGGTATATTTATATGTATTTTCTGTTAGATACAATGTAGAACTGTTCATTTGCAAATCCAAGTTGTGTTCTTTCTTTAACTTTTATGCCATTTTACTTCTATCTCCACTACTGATTTTATCATTACAGTATCAACGTATAGATAAATAATATTTTTAACATGAAAACTGTTTTAACTATTTGTATACATTACTGGTATATGTCCAGAGTACATCTTTATATTTTATCAGATCTATTATATATTAAGAAGCGCAGCCAGCTGCCAGAATTTTACCTTGAACATGGATCTGAATTATGAACAGCTAGAGAGAGTAAAAAGTGTTTGTTGTGTAGCTGAATCATTTTATGTGTGTGTGTGTGTAATTAAGCAAATTTATTTTTATTATACACAATCATTGACAAAAGAGGAATGCTTGAGGCAATTAAAACAGTTCAATATTCTAATGTTCTTTTATTTCCTTTAAAGTGTCATTATTGTATAAAAGTATTCCTCACACAGTTGATAAAAATTTCGACCATATACGACCAGATGAAAACGGTAAGTTAAACAGGTCATAAAAACCCTATCCTGAAATAGAATCATTCATCAGGATTAAGAAAGGACATTCTTATATTTAATTCGATTTTAGCTCATGTAAGTCAAAGGCTCGCATAAGCCCTGTCCATCGTTCGTCTGTACTGTCCGTTGGCCTGTCTGTAAACTTCTTACATTTTAAACGTTTTCTGTAGAACCACTGGTCCAATTTCAAATAATTTGCCACAATGCATCCTTGTTTAGAAGGGAATTCAAGATTATTTAGATGAAGAGCCATGCCCTCATGGATGTTGAAATAATCAAAAAGGCAAAACTAGGTTAGGTGGTTTTAAAAAAAATCGTTCTCAAGAACCACTGGGCCAGAAAAGAGTAAAGAGCTTGGTTCACTTAATCCATAAAATGGCCCTACTTTAATACCAATTAACTGACCAAGACCCAATAACCTATTTTAAACATCAATATAGAGTAGAGACTTAGTGCTTTCGTTTCCAATAAAAAAAAAGTTTCCTCTGAGAGTCCAGGTATTAAAAACGGACTTGGTGAAATTTCTCTGTTCTTAAATTTTGCAGAAAATGGGTGTATTTGAGTACCTTCAGCAAAGAATTAAAATATGAGTCCACCCATCGATCCAAAATATAAAATATGTATTATAATGTTCAGAAACAGTTCTTTCATAATTATACTATTGCATATTTTGGATCAGAGGTTAGGCTTTATGAAAAACGGTTTAAAATTTTGGTAATTTTTGAAGAATTTTTAAGGAATTGAAGATAATTACGCAATTCACATGAAACGTGGACTAGCGAGGAAAATATTTCATTTTTGATAGTTATGCAGTCATTAAAGGTCCAAGTTAAATTGATACATTTCAGCTAAAACTGAACAGTTTTGGTCTTTCAGAAATTCACAGGGCCAAAAAAAGGCCGTAAGTGAACCTTGTTCTTTATTTGAAAGTTTGCTGACATAGTTTACATTGTAGATTCAAGTCTGGTCTAATCAAGGACCCCGGTGTTTGGTTGGGGCCACAGCACGAGATCAAAGTTTTATATGGTATAAGAGTTTTACATGAGAATTATATAGGGAATTAAATATAACAACTTTTCAAGAGTAACAGGGTCACACTAAATCATATTAATGTGCAAACGTGTTAAAACATGGATAAATATGGATTTTGGCGTGGGCCTAGAATCGGGGAGCAGATTTTGGCGTGGGCCTAGAATCGGGGAGCAGATTTTGGCGTGGGCCTAGAATCGGGGAGCAGATTTTGCATAATGCATGTATACAGGAAATTTTTCAAAAAAAAAATCCAGGTCAGCAAGACCATATTTGTCATATAGATACTGTAAAGATTTAAGCTTGGTGAAGTCTTTCCAATGTCTTGAGTCTATGGGTAGGGCCACAGTGTGAGGTTTAGAATTCATGGGAATAAAGAGGGAAAAATCTTTTTAAAATCTGATGAAGAAAACGAAGACCACGGTTACTCATGTGCGCGTTGTGACCCATAGCTGTTTTCTTGTTTTCGTTAACTAAAGGAATATTCTTTATTACTTAAATCTTCTTAACGTGAAATGTAGATATCTACTTTGCTGTAGGTAAGTATATGTAGACCGTGACTATCATAATCTTGTCAAATCCCTGGCAGTAATATGATGCGTTTGAATAACTTTATTCGATTCCTGCTTGCTTCTATGGGTGACTGGTGTCTTGCTAACAAATCTGTTAACCGTATTAGCGCTTCAGATAGAACTAGATAGACTATTTGATACAGCGGATTAGGCCTACATGCTGTATTGATTACAATAACAGCGACGTATTGAAGATAAAACGTCAAGTATTGAAAATTAAAGTTAATCATAAGATTCATGTGATCTGATTTATTTTCACCAAGCTAAAGTAAGAATTATAAGCTGAATTTTAAAATACATGTATATGTTATCTCGAATTTCTGTAGTGCGCGTTCCACTTCCGCACATTGTATAATTTGTATTAATACATGTATATTGTATAATTTTACAAAGATTGATAAAAAACTTAGGTTTACTATTATACCCTCTAATTATCCAGCGCACTGAAGACATATGCACAGGTAATAATTAGGCTAGGTATATATGATGACTCTTCGAGAAAACGGACTGAAGTAGGAAAAGTCATAAAAAGGACGCCAAATGAGAAAAAGAGGCGTTTAGACTGCAAATGGCCTATAATGGAACTCTTAGGGTTTGTGTTGTAGTTCTGCTAAACGCAAGGCCCCAAAATGTTCAAAACTTTATATGACCCAGAAAAATGCACATTCTTTAAAAGTGGATTTATCTGTAGTGCGTCAAGGATATGGCCAGTTATTTTGAATTGTTTTGTTGGTTGAAGAATGACTTTCATCTGTTGGAATTCCAATGGGCACAGATTGTGGTTCTTTGTTTTCCAACCTGTTTTACATTCCTTTGAAGCAGAATTTATTCAAAAACTTATACATGAAGGAAACACTTGCTGTAGCCTTTAACCCGACATTTAGATATATCGACTACGCATTATCAATTAACAATTGTTATTTCCATTCATATGTCGACACGATATATCGCAGTGAGCTTTAAATAAAAAATACCACAGAGTCTGACACATCTGTTTCATATATTTGGATATTTTACTAGAAAGAAACGTTAATACTAATCTAACAACAACGCTTTATGATAAACGTGAGGACTTTTAACTTTTCAATCGTCAACTTCCCTTACTTATGCAGCAATATACCCTCATCACCCGCGTATGGGGGTGTATATCTCTTCGTTGATTCGATACGCAAAAGCACGATCTACGTATCAACAATTTCTAAAATGATGTAAGTTATTGAAAAACAAGTAGATGAAACAAGAATATCAACGGTCTCGTTTAAAGACATCATTTCGTAAATTCTATGGTCGATACCTTGTCAACAAATACAATCTATCATTAAGTTATATGCTGACTGACGTTTTTCATACTAATTGTTAGGCCATTACATGTATTTACACACTGTGGATTTTTTCCATTATTTCCCGATTATGACAAAGAGCACACGGCGGGTGTGACAGGTCGGCAGGGGATGCTCACTCCTCCATGGCACCTGATACCACCTCTGATGTTTTTGGAGGTCCGTGTTTGCTCTGCTCCCGATTTGTATTGTCTAAATGAACTTTGAACTTGAATACTGATCGTTATCTCCATATTTCATTACTTCCATTCATTTCGACTAGATCGATATATCCCAGTGAACTCGAAATAAAGGACACCACAGAGTCTGCCACATCTGTTTCATATTTTGATGTTTTACTGACTATAGACGATAAGGTCCAACTAACAACTAAACTGTATGAAAAACGAAATGACTTCAGTTTTTTCACCGTCAACTTTTGTTACACTTATGAAGTAATATTTCGCTATCACCTGCATATGGTGTTTTTTCTCCCAATTAACTTATTCGATATTCAAGAGTATGCTCTGAATACAATTAATTTTTAAACTAAGGCAGGATACTGAGAAATAAGTTGATGTTACAGGGATTTCAACAATCTCGTTTAATGTCAGCATTTCTCTAATTACAGTGGCTGCAACGTTATTGTTGACAAACCAATCGTGTAGAATCGTTCGTGTAACGTGCGTGATCGTTCGTGTAACGTGCGAGATCGTGCGTGTATCAGACTCAATCGTTTGCGGTTTTAATCGTGCGTGATCGTGCGTTAAGAAACGTGTAAACTTCGTTTTGTAAGTTTTTATCGGAATGTTATTTGTTATACAAGCATTTCGCTTGTCTGTTTTTTTTTTTTAATCCAAATAAAATAAATGAAGCGCGAGTTACATAATTGAAAACAGAACGAACTAATTATCGCTTGGAAATAAGCAATATAGTAAGTCGTACAATATTGTGTTCTCGTCAAATAGCGTGATTTTTTGTGATAAACCGTACTTATATGTTTAAAGATTTTTTCTCTGATGTTGATTATGTTTACTGCTAATTATGGTCAAGATATTTTTAAAATCAATAGATCAAAAATTGATATTTTTACAAATAAATAAATAAACAATTCTCAATGCTTACATAAATATATAGTCGGCGAATGTACATGTACGCGACATGATTGTCGGGGTTTCGTTTATCAGTGTTTATCTCTGGAGCTTACTTTTAATTATTTTTATAATTTTTGCAAATAAATGATTTGTAAAATAATTGTTGACTTGAGAGATTCACAAATGGAAACATGGAAATAACTTATAATTCAATTCATTTTCATGCCATTTTTTTCAAACTTATCCCTTTCTGCGTATTATGAAATCCAATTCAATCAAAACTCATGGTCCACCTACATGTAGAACGAGAAAAAAAACCCAGTTTTCTTAAGTCGGAGAATTACGTACATAATTATTTGTAATCGAAGATAATTAATAAGTTTTATATGTATTTAGTTCCAGAAATATCCATTTCTATTTTTTTTTCATTTTTCATAGTCAATGAAATAATATCAATAATTATTTGAAATCTACAATAAGTATTAAGCCTTATTTCGTTTTGAAAATATCCATTCCTAAAGAACTTGAACTATTCTGCGTGAAGAATCGTGCGTTTGCGTTAGCAATCGTGTAAGATCGTGTAACGTGTAGAATCGTGTGCGTGAAGGATCGTTCGTGTAAAAGATTTTATCGTGCGTTAATCGTGCGGAATCGTTCGTGTAACGTGATCGTTCGTGTAAGTTGTCAACAATAACGTTGCAGCCACTGTATATGGCCGTTATAATGACAATATTAGCAAATACAACCTTTCATTAGGTCGTATTTTGACCGACATGTTTCATACAGTTTGTAAGTCTTTGCTTTTATACTAAATTTAAATACGGATTATTCCGTCTACCTGATTGATACATGAGGCTCACGATGCGTGTGA